CGTTCCACTGCTAGAGACTGAGGCAAAGTAAGCATTGAGCACCCCAGCCTTTTCCTCATCCTCAGTTACCACATTTCCCTCTGCATCCAGTAAAGGAGGGAGATTTTCCCTAATCCTCCTTTTGCTATTAACAAATTTATAGAAACATTTTTTAGTATCCTTAACAGCTGTAGCCAGGTTGAGCTCTAGCTGTGCTTTGGCTCTCCTGATGCTCTCCCTGCATAACTTCACTACATCTTAACAGTCTTCATGAGACCTGACCCCTCTTCCAAAGGTCATAGATTCTCCTTTTGTTCTTGAGATCCAGCCAAAGGTCCCTGTTTAGACAGGCTGCTCTCCTTCCCCACCTGATTGTTTTCTGGCACCTGGGAACAGCCGGCTCCTGTGCCTTTCAGACTTCACTCTTGAAGTATGTCCAGCCTTCCTGGTCTCCCATATCCTTCAGGGCAGCCTCCCAAGGGATTTTGTTAATCAGCCTTTTGAACAGGTCAAAGTTTGCCCTGAGGAAGTCCAAGGTGGCAGTTTTACTAACCCCTCTCTTTGTTTCTCCCAGGATCGAAAACGCAATCACCTCACTATCACTGCACCCTAGAAACCTCCACCACCCTTTACCTCTCCCACAAGCTCTTCCCTGTTCACCAGAAGCAGCTCCAGGAGGGCTCCTTCCCTGGTCGGCTCACTCACCAGCTGTGTGAGGCAGTTATCCTCCACACACTCCAGGAACCTCCTGGACTGTTCCCTCTCTGCTGTGCTGTGATCCCAGCAGATACCTGGGAGGTTCAAGTCCCCCACAAGAACAATGCCAAGTGACCATGAGATTTCTCCCAACTGTTTATAGAAAGCTTCTTCCACCTCACCGCTTTGGTTGGGGGGTCTATAGCAGACTCCCACAGCAAGATCTGCTTTATTGGCCCTTAACCTAATCCAAACACTCCCAACCCTGTTATCACTGTACTTGATTTCTGAGCTGTCATAGCATTCTCTAACATACAGGGCCACTCCACTGCCTCTCCTTCCCTGTCTGTCCCTCCTGAAGAGTTTGTGGCCATCAGTTGCAGCACCCCAGTCATGTGAGGCATCCCACGACATTTCTGTTATAGCTACTATATCACAGTTCTCATGCTGCATCATGGCTCCCTTGACCTGCTGGCCACAATTCTCTTTAGGCAGCTCAGGACATGGTTGGCTTTCTGGGCTACAAGTGTACACTGACAGCTGAAGCCCAAGTCTGTATTGATACCAGGGATTGCCCCAAACCAGAGGTAGGGCCTTGCACTTGGCCTTGTTGAACTTCATGAGGTTCACATGCGCCCACTCCCCAAGGCTGTCCCTCCAGATGGCATCCCTTCTCTCTAGCAAATCAACTGACCACTAAGCTTGGTGTCATTCACAAACGTGCAGAAGGTGCACTCACTAACACTATATCATTGATGAAGACATTAAACAGTGTTGGTCCCAGTCCAGACCTGACGGAGACCTTGATTATAAAGCCAACACATAAAAGTATTAATACTCCAGGCAAGCCCACATCATATTCCAGTATGTTCTAGAAACATACTAGTTTCTTCCAAAATATGCAGACAGAGAGGTGGATTGCAAACTGGCTGAATGGCCAGGCCCAGAGGGTGGCGATCAGAGCAACAAAGTCTAGTTGGAGGCCAGTAACTAGCAATGTGCCCCCAGGATAAACATCAGGTCCAGTCCTGTTCAAAATCTTCATTAAAGATCTGTATGATGGGACAGAATGTACCCTCAGCAAGTCTGCAGATGACACAAAACTGGGAAAAGTGACTGATACACCAGAAGGTCATGCTGCCATCCAGAGGGACCTGAAGAGGCTGGAGAAATGGGCTGACGAGAACCTCATGACGTTCAACAAGGGTAAGTGCAAAGTCCTGCATCTAGGGAAGAACATCACAGGCACCAGTACATGCTGTGGGCCACCCAGCTGGAAAGCAACTTTGCAAAAAATGACCTGGGGGTCCTGCTGGACATCAAGTTGAGCATGAGACAACAATGTGCCCTTACAGCAAAGAAGGCTAATGGTATGTAGGGCTGCATTAGGAATAGTATTGCCGGCAGGCTGAGAGGCATGATCCTTCTCTTCTAGTAAGCAATAGCAAGGCCACATATGGAGTACTATTACTAGTTCTGGGCTCTCCAGTATAAGAGAGACATGGACATACTGGAGAGATGCCAATAAAGAGACCCTAAAATGATGAAAGTATAGGAACATCTCTCCTATGAGGAAAGACTGAAAGAGCTGGGACTGTTCAGCCGGAAGAAGGGAGCGCTCAGGGGGATCTTCTCAAGGTATATACATACCTGAAGGGAGGGTGCAAGGAGGACAGAGCCAGGCTCTTTTCAGTTGTGCCCAGTGACAGAACAAAAGGCAATGGGCATAAACTGAAACACAGGATGCTCTGCCTGAACACAGAAAAATAGTTTTGTATTTCAAGGGTGACCAAGCACTGCACCAGGTTGCCCACGAAGGTGGTGGAGTGTCCATTCTTCACGATGTTCAAACGCTGTCTGCATGCAGTCCTGGACAACTGACTTGGCCTTGCCTGAGCAGACAAGCTGGACCAGATGACCTCCAGACATGCCTTACAACCTCAACCATTCTGTGATTACGCTGCTAATAATTATGACATCAAAAAGGTAATATTCTTTTTATGTACCTAATATTCTTTCTGTGAGAGAAGTAAACAACACAAATCATTAATCTATCTACAGACACATTTATAGGGTCAATTGTTTTAACTGTTATATCCATACATACATGCTGCAGAGAGTATGAATAACTGGGTGTACATCTCTTTTTATAAAGAAACAAGTTAATATAATCTCTCATCAATCTAAAAACCTGAATTGTAAATCTAACCTAAAAAGCCAGCATTCTGTTCTAAGCATTTTTCAGGATTCTGATTTTTCAACTTTGAGATGATGAAAGTTTATAGCAAGTTGGCTACTATAACAACACATGACAAGTAAGATATTATTTTGCCCATTGTTTCTCAAGGTATAGAAAGACAATACAGCAAATATATGCTGATAGCAATTACCTATAAAATATAAAAGAAAATAATAAAGGAACCATGCAGTCACAATACATTACAAGATGATTCGTAAGATTATAAGAAGATGGCAAGGTCTTCTTCCATTATCCCATGCAATTTTTATATATCTTTTTTTATATGTCTTGTGCTTTGTTAGCAGAATAAATACATTATTTAGCAGTTAGTTCTGTGAATTGAGACTTTAGGTTAAAAAAAGTTCTCTTGAACTTCAAGTTTTTCGCTCAACTAAAATCTACAGGATTAAGATGTTTTCAAAACAAATGGAGAAAGCAAATTCAAGTTTAACCTCAAATTACACCTTGAAATCTGCACTCACACTCAAACTGATACTCAACTTGTCATCTAGGCTAGGAAAATAAAAGAAAAAAGGGGGTGAAATCATGCTTTAAGCATATGTAGAGACACACACCTATATTTAAACCTGCCTTCATGCTAAAAAACAAGTTGCACTATGATATTTTGGCAGTTGCTTTTCTTCAAGCTTAGTTACAAATGACAGTTTAGTACTGCTTGATATGGGATGTAGTATGCTAGCAAAATTAGATGAGACAGTGGTGAAGTCAAAAAGAATCTTCAGAACTATACACCAGAAACACTGTATGTTGCAAGGCTCACAAAACTGCAGACAAGAAACAGAGAAATGTCATCCCCAAACTAGGTCACAGAAGGACCACAGGTATGTATGGTACAAGTTCCAAATAAAAGAGGATCAAAGGTGGTTTTATTGGTTTTTCATATGCCAAGGACCTATAATATGTATCAGTGTATCATCTGAAGAAAATTTTCAGACAGGTGCTTTGTAAGGTATCTTCAGAATTGTCTTCCATTCTGCACATATATGCTATATTCTGAAAAGTTAGCTTCATAACCTTCTGTGATTTCACTTGGTTTTTCAAATTACTCACCTCCTTCATGGTACAGTCATACCTGTCTATACACTCACTATATTGCTGACCATTTAAACTTTGGGACTTGCATGCCTGGCATTGGTAAATATAATCTCAAAAAGACAGAAGCCCAAAATGTCTTGTTCAACTCAAATTTTTTTTGCACATACTTACATTATCAATCATATATTTGATTAGGTTAATGAGTTATTACAATTTTACACGTGAAAATTCCACAAGTTTTGTGTCTAAAATAGCCCAGTTTTACAAAGGAATAAATTGAAATACTCTGGAAAAAACATCTGTGGTGCAACTCCGAATATCTTTAGTCTGCTCCACAGACATATCTTGACTTCTCAAATTGAGTCAGTGTTCCACAATTCTTTTGAACCACTTGATCCTGGCTGACACTTAAATGCTTTGTATACATACTCTGATGTAGTTGAAGGCTTATTATGAATCAGCAGAAGGTTGTTATCATACCTTCTCATAGATGCAAACATTTATGTCTAAAGACACAATGAAACTTCCACAGAATGTACCAAAGTTTTAACTGGTCACAGGCACCTATGAAGCAAGATTATGATGCCATTATAGGAAGTATCTCAATATCATTTTAAGTATCTCACAAAATGCACCATCCAACCATCTTACAAAATTAAAGATGGCAGGAGCTCAGGTACACTTTAAGTGCAGAGAATCAACAGGCTGATGAGCTAAACCACTACAAGTGTTCATAAGTACATTTCACCCTTGCCCTATTACAAAGCCGTTCACAAACATCTCCAAATGGTATGTAGGCTGCATTACTTTACATTGCTAACAGTGCACATAAAGTCAGGTTCCAGCAGCTCAGTAATGTCTCTTTAAGACAATGGAACTCCACTGCCCCTATCACAATTACCTACTACCTAGTAAGTATCCTTTTTATTTTCCAGTACCTTGGTTTAACACAAACTTTGTATCTTAGTTTAAACTCCTTGTCTTAAAACAAGCCTACATAGCTTTATTCTCTCTTAATAAAAAACATTACCTTCTGAGGGGTCAAAACTCTCTGCCTGAACTTTTCAATCGTATCTTGACCTGCAGCCGCCCATGCACTGGCAAATGCTTCAGCTTTGTCTTGATCCAGGTGAATGCTTTGCAGCTGTTGTTGCAATGAAGCAGGCTTCAAATTATGATAGACTGCCTGTTAAAAGGAAAAATAACTGTTGTACAATATACTGCTCTACAAGTTGTGCCAGATATACCTTACCACATATGGCCAACACGTTCACACAAGATTTTTACTAGCAACTCTACTGTGGGACTGCAAGCATCCTGCTCATCTTAACCCTCTGACTGAGAAGATACAAAAGTGTATCTCAACTGTATCTCGAAACACAATATTACAAATTACTCTTGTCAAGATAGGCAAACTATGAAAAAAATGCTTATACAAGTTAGATCTGAGTATATGTATATGTTTCCACAAAACTAGCTACCACTGAAAAAACCTGGGCTTTGAAGTCAATTGTGACCATGAAGAAAGGACAACTCTTCCAAATTCACACTGTTCAAGCAAGCCTGAACTATGAGGTAATACTCTGAAAAGACAGGAACAACTTGCCAAAAAAAGATGAGTTAGATATAACGCCCATATTAGCATCAATTTTTGTGGTAAACACTCTATACAGTATGCTGGTCCACTTTCAAAACAGGACTCCATCAGCACCAGGGCAGGGAGAGAAAAAAAACAAGGCAAAGACCCTTTGTCTTTGTCTATCTATAGTCATTATCTATAATGTGTCCATAGACCAAAGCTGTTAAAAAAGTTATGCCCTGACAAGCTCCTACACTTAGAAGTGTAGCTATCAGTTGGAAAACAAGAGTCCTCATACAACATGTATTCCATGTGGGACTCTTCTTTGGGCAGATATTAATATCCTTTCCTTTTTTTTTTTTTAATGTAAAAGATGTAAGTCCTAGAGGAAACTGAACTGCTTTTTCTGTTCACCTTCAATAATTATCATATAAATGAAGCAGTCTGATGAAATTAGGACCAGGCAATAAAACTGATGTTTGTTCTTTGGTTGAGATGAAAATGCAAAATGCCAGTCTGGATGTAATACCAGGTTTCGTTTTGCTTTTTTTGGTGGGTAGAAGCCATGCAGAGGACTGTTTGCTTGTGTTCTTTCTAACGCTGTGCAATGTGTTAACTAAGTGAACTAACCATAAAGTGACATATGTAAGGACAAGATCCAAATCCCACAACAGACCATAAGCATACATACCCTCTGCACAGACTACACTTACTATACTTGCATGAAATGGATGGATAACATCGTGGCTGTGACAATTTCTAAGAAAGTTACACTGGCTTCCTTACCTGAGTAGTGGTAGACTGCAGAATCAGGAAACCCTCTCTGTTTAGAAGACATTTAGCTCTACACCATGCAGTCACCTACTCATGCAGATACTAAAGCTACATCAGGTGTGCCTGTTCACCCAAGTACAGGCTGCTTTTGTCATGAAAATTTTCCATAACTGACACTTCATGTAACTTAAGCAATGATCAATAATGCCATATAATATTTTCCTTGCAGGAATTTAAAAAATGTATGTCTGGCTTGCTTATAATGAATAAGAGGAAACACTGTATCTCGTAATTATCAACACTTCTCTCAGTTATGCAGAGCTCACTTCCACCACCTATATTTACATTAGATGGAAACTCACTGCACAAATGCAATGAGTCCAATCCAAATCAGGAAGGCATGAAAACAAAAGCTGTACAATCATGCCCCCAGAACACATACATAATATACTACAGATATATGTTTTCAATAACTCCTTTTGAAATTGAATTTTGTGGTTTTGAAATCTACAATCAGATTAAAATATTTATCAATTCATAATGGTAAAAGGTACCTGCTCCAAAATGAATGATATAGTTTCAAGGACCAGATGAAGATCCTGCTTTTCCAACAAAAAAGCTACTTGAAGTTTTTCTTCTTCCTCTTCACTGAAGCTACTTTCAGCCTGAGGCACAAAAATGGTTAGTCCTGACATTCCATTTAGTGACCAAGAACATACTTGTCAAAAGAAAAAACTTTGTCCCCATTTTGGTAAACATAGTGTCTGTCCAGTTGTTTCTAAACAGAAATAACAAAGTAAAGCTCTCTTCCAACAGAAAAATACAGTGCAATTCCTCTCACTGAGAATCAAAAGTCAACAGTATCACATGAGAAGTTACCAGGATTACTTGACATACATCACAAGAAAATGCTTTCTGTTTGCACCTGAGACACAAAAGAATCGTTTTTCTTTCAACAATCAGATAGTCTCCAATAACATTTTAGAAATGAAAATAAGAAAAGTATGAAGCACGTTGCTTGAATTAGACTCCAAAGAAAACAGAAGTCAAAACTGTAGTGGTTAGTTACACATCTTTCTTCCACTCTGGATACTCCTCTGAAAATCACCCATGCTGTTACAAAGGAAATAAAGGCTTAATGTATGCTTATTTTGAAAGTCAAGATTTCAATCTATAGCCTTCCATATTACTGAAAATTACCAAGAATGTTCTGTACTTCTAAAATACAGCGGTTATATTTATTATACTACAGCAGATTAAATAGTAATTTAAATGCATATGCCATCTTTTAAAAAGTAATTACTAACAAATCTATGCATCGGACATCAAAACACCATAATTAGACCACTTAGTAATTCAAAACTGCAAAGCTACACAAAAAAGCAATTCAGCTGTCACAATAAATAAAACGAAGCAATTATACAAAACCTTCGATGATCATAATGTTTGTAATAATATTAACAAAACTGAAACATTGTTTAAATCATTAACTGTTAGAAGGAAGTGCAGAGCTCTCAGTATCTGCTTTGGGAAGACAATTAAGTTTTATTCAAAGTTTCTAGCAATTTAACATACCCTAGAATCTGATTCTTTAGAAAGGCCAATTCATGAGCTTGACTGAGCTAAATTAAAAATACCACTCCAACTCATGTAAAACAGTGAAGAGCTACTAAACTGCAACTGATAGCAAAAAAAACCCCTAACCTACAAAATAAAAAAAAAAAGTTGGTGACACTTTCCAGTTACCAGTGAATTAATATCCATAAAAAACAACTGAGAAAACCCTCTGTAAGAACAACAGCACCCAAGCTAGTAATTTTGGTAGGAAAAAAAATGAACAATTGACTCAAATAACCAAAACAATCCTTATAGTCTCAGAATTATGACCTTTAATACACTTGTATTTTCTATTTGTGCTGATCTTAACCTGTAATATTTTAATGTTTAGTTTGTATATATATATATATATGTCTATAGAAAACAAATTCTGTATTTTAAAAATATTTTTCTTAAACACAAAATGAGGGAAAACAAAAAAATCTAACAATGAAAGATAAAGAAACTCAACAAAATAATTTCTGGTTTAGCATTTATCTTATAGTTTCCCCTGCAATATTTGTTGCAAAGGTTAGATTCAGATTCTATTTGACTTTTTGGCACTGTGCAATGAAACTGACTACTGATTTTACTCATTTGGTTTTTTTCTTATTTATTCTATGATCTAAAAAAAAACAAAACCAAACTTCTGTAAAGATGACAAAAATACTAACTATATTTATTTTTAACCTCAGTTCCACAGATGGCTTTGGTTGATCCACACACAGAAATGCAAAAAAAGACATTTAGTGTTTCCATTGCGCGTTTGTGCAAAGAGCCAAGGAACTTGCGTCTCCTCCGAGAGCCTTCTCAGAGCATCAGCACCTGGAGGCGATGGAAGCAAGTTATAACAAGCACTGCTGGTTCTCGCACATTCACCCTCTGCCATTCATCACTGTTTCTTATTTCATTCACCCGAAATAGTTCTAAACAATTGGTGGTGTATGAAATTAAGATTAATAACTTCTTTTTTTATTAAACGTAAAAAAAAAAAGAAAAAAAAAGCAGCAATTGTCCCTTTACAAAACAGAGTGTCGCATCTGTCCCACAAAAGACGACTCGTAGCACCTGGACAGAGGGGCACGGCTCGTCCCGGCTCGGCTCTGTCCCCTGCCCGTCCTGCAGCAGGAGGGCGGGCTGGGAAGAGGGCGGGATTCGGCAGGTCGCCGCGCCCCGGGGACTCCGCTACTTAACTCGCGGACCCGTTCCTGCGAATTCACCTGGCGCAGCGCGGCCAAAGCGCCGGTAGGACGCGGCTGGGCCCCGGTTCAGCCCGCGGCAGCGCCCCGGTTCAGCCCGCGGCAGCACAAGGC